CTCTCTTCTTTTTTTCTTACCGAATATTTCTTGCATCTTTACATTTTTTGTTTTCTTTTTCTTTTGTTTTATTTTTTAAACTATTGATATCAAAGTTAAATCATTTAAATTTACTCATTCGATATCTGATAGCTCAGTTATATGTGTATATTTATATATTTAAAAAATAAATTTTAATTATTCAATTTTCATCTAAATGATTTCGAGAGTGAAGAATAAAAGATGATGTGAGAGAAAACAACCACGCATCATGATATGTAATGTAGTTTTATAATAATCGAAATGATTATAAAAATGGTATCAAGTCGCACTGTGTATAAATTGCTCGTGGACTTTAGATTATTGTCTTTTTGAGATAGATACACCAAACTCTAATAAAACAAATTGCGTTTACAATTTAATTTTTGTTCAAAAGATAAAAAAATAATAATAAAATTCTCCTGAATTAATAAATGATAATATGATCCTTCAACACGTCATAAGACATAGGGATTTTTATGCTAATAAATTTTAAATTGAAAAAACTATTTTATTCTTGTTGACAAGTTATGGTTTTCTATATAATTCTTATAATTATTTGAATAAAATTTTTTATTCTTTAAACAAAAGTTGTAATTGAAGCTTATTATTTTGAGAATGTATTTTTTAATAACAAAAATTATATTTACAAGTTGTATTTTTCATTCAACTTTTACAATTTATAAAATAAAATTTATAAATAAATCTGTTATTTTTTAAGAAAAGTTTGTTATTGGGACTTTTTATTTTCAAACCTTGTTTTTCAATAACAGAAATTACTCTTAATAAATTATGATTTTTATTCAATTATTGCGATTTACAAAATAAAAGTTATTATTCTTCAAACAAAAGTTATAATTGGAATTTATTATCTTGACAACTTATTTTTAACAAAAAAAATTACACTAGATAAGTTATAATTTTTTATTTAACTCTAACAATTCATAGAATAAAAATTATTATTCTTTAAGCAAAAATAGTAATTGAGACTTGTTATTTTTAATAAAATTAGTATAATATTTTCACTTTAAAATTATTAACACAGAAATTTTTAAAAATTTCAATAAAATTGTAATATTTTGAGAAATTATATTGTTATTTATATAATTTGAGAGATTTTATTATAAATTTTTTAAGATAAAATATATTAAAATTTTTAAATAAAATTTAAGAAGACAGAAGAGTTCTTTGTTTACTACAAATAGGGTTGGGAATAAGTGAATTCAGCCGAGCCCACTTGCAGGGCTCAGATCTAATAACCTTATTATTATTATTATTATTATTATTATTATTATTATTATTTGGCTACATACATGCATACATATACATATATATATATATATATATATTTCAAAATATGATTTCAAGTCTTGGAAGGTATGAGAAGTTCAAATTACATAAAAAGAAAAAAAATTATTTAATCCCCCCAATTACAAGGATGGCATCGTGTTTCTCCAAGACTTGTCAAATCTCTCATTCATTCTTTCAGGCTTGTAAAATCACATGATCATGATTGCAAACTAGATTCTATATCCGCTTATTAACTTTCAATTGTAATATAATCAAATATTGAGAAGAAAAGATTTTAGGTAAAATTTCAGTTAAGAATCACTATAAAAATTTAATTTTAGGTAGGTTTAAAAAAATTATGAAAGTTTAATTCAATCTAAGGAAAAGTCAAAAGAATTTCAACAATGAAAAGATCAAAATATCCTTCACTTATTATACAAAATCATTTTTACTTGTTAATTTACAAATATGAGTCGATATGTAAATAGTTATATAAAACTTGATATTGGCTTTTCAATCATAAGCAATGAAATTAATTATTAAATTACTAACTTTACTTGTTAATTTACTAACATCAGTTGTAAATTACTGATAAGTCTTATAATTTACAACTGATGTTAGTTAATTAACAAGTAAAGCTAATAAATTAACAATCAATGTTCCTGATTGTCTAACAAATATATGTAATTTGCAAGTATAGTAAAAAAATTAACAACTAATGATTTTATATAACACGTGAAGTGTATTTTAGTCTTTTCATTGTCAAAATTCTTTTGACTTTTCTCCCTAAACTGAACTAAAATTTCAGAATATTTTTAGACCCATTTGAAATTAAGCCTCTTTTCTAGCTCTTAACTGAAATTCTCCCAAAATGTTAACCAACTCAATTCCTAAAAAAGAGTAAAGGATTAAAATTTTTAATATAGATAAATTATAAAAGAGATACGTAAATAAAATTTCTTACAAATTTTAAGCCACATTTATTTATGTAATTATAAAAATTATTTAATGCCCTATGTTTTGCCACTTATTATAAGTAACTTTTGTTTCTAATATTTAGAAGATTTTTTAGAAGATGTCTCTAATATTTACAAATTTATAGAAGAGAAAATGTAACTTTTGCTTTTCTTAATTTTTTCTTAGTTATTGATCTCATCATTAAATTTTAATTTAATGTACTATAAAAATTTAATTGCACTGAATTGAGATTTAGAAACTAAATCAATAATTAAAAGGAAGTTTAGAAAATATGTTATATTATCCTAATTTTATAAAATAAATTCATGCTATTGGTGTATTCACTTGACATGCCCATGATGGCAGTCTTGTCCAGATAGCTTGGAATCCATGCATGATAATGAAAAAGCGGAAAGCATCCTGCTAAGTAACTATGCTGTAAAGAATATATTCTATTATAACATCACACACACACACACACACACACACACACACACACACACACACACACACACACACATATTATATCCTCTCTCTCTCATCTTTAAATTTAACTCCGAGCAAGTGTATAAAGTTAATGAATTAAATTTAAAATTAAAAGTTGATCTTTTATCAAATTTAGATTCAAATATTGACATTGAAACTAAAAGTGAAGATTGAAACTCAAATGATAAACATTATAATATTATCTCTTAATTATGAATTGTATAATATATATATATATATATATGAATTTTCATTTGACGAGCAAATTATACGGTATAATTTTATTATTTTGCGATGTGTGTTATTTATCTTTTGGACATTTGGTAGCAGATTGTTATTTATTTGTACGTCAGTGCAATTTCATAATTCATTTGTCATGTTTTATTTTCATATTTTGAAAGTAAAAAACTCGATGAATTTTATATCCCATGTATTAAAACCCAAGTTTCTTGAATCGAAATCCATCCAAGAAATTATGTTTTCAAGTTCAAAGCTGACGATGATCAGATTGATAATATTGTAATTGTAATGCTATTGAAATCTAACACAAGTTGGAGGGTTGGATTAATGAATTGGTGAACTAGTTCCCTAGCTAATAAAATCACGAGTTTTAAACAGATGGATTGATGAGTTGGATTTTATTCTTTTTATCTCTTTACTAAACCTAAAACGATATTGTTTTGGGTTAGGAAAAGAAAAAATAATAGTCCATAAGATTTGTGTTATAGTAACTCAGGTTTATTAAATTATATGTCGCATGTACATGAATGTTTCATTTACCATTAAATTAATGCCTTTTTATTTCAATACTACTCTTTTATATATATATATATATATATATATTATAAATACACAATTTAAAGTTCTTGCACTTTACTCGAATTTTGTTATAAATTTTTGTACTTTTTTGGGATATTTTAAATCTTTACATTTTTATTTTTTAGTGTTTTAGATCTTTATAACACCGTTTATAAGGGACCTAAAAAATCAAAAAATAGTGTAGAGACTTATTGTAAAACTCGAGCAAAGTGTATAAATTTAAAGTTATATTTTCTTTTAATTAAATTATATTATTTCAAATATGACTATAATGATTTTGGCAAAAAAAATGACTATAATGATCTTAATTCAATCATAATAAAAAAAAATGACTATAATGATCTCAATTTAATCATAATCAAATTATTAAACATTGAGATACTATCCACCTAGTTAAATTACCGTTCTAGTTTTCATTACCTTACATATTTTAACCATGAAAAGGTGTTTCACAAGAAAGATTACTCTAAGAATACACGGGCTATTTAAAATTATTTTTATTTTATTGTTTTAAGAATTGACATTTTGTGGAACATGTTCTGGGAATAAAAAATAATAAAAATAGGTTTTTTTTCATTCTCCTTTATTTCAGAATAATAATTACAGAATACTTAAAAGTTGTTTTCATTTTTTTTATTCTCTAGAACAATATTTTTTTTTGTTTTTTAAAACACTTTTTGAAAACATGTTATCAAATAAATTTTTTTGTTCTCTTGTCTTGGAGAATATAAAACTGTTCTCAAAATAAATTTTTAAATAGGCCCATAATCTTAAGCAAGGAAAATATGAATGCTGTGACTAAAAATTTAAGTGCGTTATTTGCCTCATTTCAACCTTTAATCTTTTTAAGTTATTCAAAAAGATCTATTCTTTCCAATGTTCAGTTTTATCCCCCTCAATTTTGTAATGTTTGTTCTGTAACTTAAACATAACTTAAACACTTTTGCCTACGTTTATTGCTTCTTTTAAAGAAAAACCATGAAATGCCTCAGTGAAAATCATGGGCACAAAAGAAAAGAAGATTAATCACAAACATCAGTCCCAGCAAAAAGATTAGGAACCAAAAACATAAAACCTCAAATAAAGGTTTGAAAGAATGACAAGTCAGGACTTTAAAAAAAAAGTTAATATTAAAATAAATCTTTTTTAATACTTTAGTTCTTATTTTTTTTTCATGTTGCAATATTAAAATTTTTAATTTGGCATCAACTTTATCCTGCCTTGTCATTCTTCCTAAAAGATTCCAGTTTTCTTTGTAATGAAGAAAAGAAGAGGAGAAAACAAACACTGCCATTGTACCCCACTTGTCCTCGCAGCATTCCTCCTTTCATATCACACCATGGCCTTGTTAAAGACACTTCGATCACCGCCTTCCTACAATTTTCCATCTCCATTTAAATACCATAAGCGCCCTCCTCCTCAGTGACTCACTCATAAGTCTATTCTCTCTCCTCCCTTTCATTTTCTCGCCTTCTTTTTCTTCTTCTTGTTCTTCCAGTGCTATCACTCTCTGTGCCTCTCGTCTTCTTGATTTGCATTGCCATGGATGAGAACCTCAAGAAACTCGCAGAAGCTCTCTTTGTTGATAGTAAGCCTTTGTCATCCGATGATCTTGTACAGAAGCTACGCTCCGACGATGCGATCAGGTTAGGACTTAACTCTTTCTACACGATTCTCAAACGCGGCGTCGAGGTGCTCGGAGATGGAATGTTGGGCCTCCAATTGTGGAACGATTCGCAGATTCAGGCAATTTCTTCATTCGCCTGCGTGATTGCTTCAGCTTCTCGATCTTTGTCAGGTGCTTTAGTGATCATTTCTTTCTATTATTGTAGAAATATGCTTGCCGTTTCGATTTTTTCTAAGTTTTTTTTTAATTTTTTATAATACATGCTTTGCTAGCTGTTAGGTTTTATTTTTGGAACTGGGAGGTGTAGGAAATATCTAGCAGATGATGGAAATTTTCAAGTTACTATGGTCCTTTTTCACTCTTGATTTTTTGCCTTGATTTTTGATATGCTTATGGTATGATGAAAAATTTTCTGAGCTGGAAGTAAAACAATTATGACTATTTTGCTATAAAATTGAGCTTTCCTCTGTCTTAATTTTTGTTGCGTTTGTCATTTTTGCACGAGTAGTGGAGCAAGCGGAAGCAATACTTGTTGCAATTGTGCAACAGTCGATAGAATTTGCCGTGTGTTACATGGAAACTTTTGGATTTAATGACGATGATCTTGGAATTCAGGTATGCTTCCCTTACACCCTCAAGGCTAGTTTGTAATGAGTTCCTTTTTTATTATTTATTGTTTCTCTCGTTTCATGGAGTTCAAAATTAAACTGGATGAGTGCTGCACAATTTGCCATAATTGGAGGAGTAGTTTGATTTGATTGATTTCGTTTTCCTTTTGTTGAAAATCATGTCTCATACTCAGTCGACGAAAGCTTCTATGGATGCCTGTATCTCTGGCTAAGGTTACATCATTTTGGGCAAAAGATGCTTTATGCTGGGATTAGAGATAGCTATTTCTGAATCAACATTCTTTTTGGGTTATATTTGTTTGTCCAACTCTAGTAGTACTGGTATTCAAGAATGACGAGTTTAGAAATTGTGACCTACTAGTGGCTTTTCCATTTTTGTGTGGAAGCCAGATTAATGCCACGGTAAATTAGTTACGCTGCTGTGTAAGATTTGATGGACTGAGAACGTTTAGCATCTGATGGATTCAGAAGGTTTTTTCCCCATGGGTAGAGGGAGAATTTGATTAAAGAAAAGAAAAACAACTTAAATTAATAGCATGATCAATTAAATCATTAGCAGAAAATAATAGACAGAAAAAGGAAAATAATAAACATGAAAAGATCACCTACTTGTAAAACAGAACCTATCTTGTCGATTATCCAAAAAACTAGGCGCACACTGATGTTAAATTAGATTGACAAACACTAGTGTAGCCAAGGGATTTAAAATTTTGGATTGCTTATTTTATTGACTCGAGTCTCAATGGAGAACTGTATTTCAAGATGTTTTATCCTACTTCCATCACCGCTGATTTCTGGAATCATCAGCGTCAATATAGTTAATATATGAAAGCAGGATTGTTGAGTAATGTTTCTTTATTGGTCAGTTATTGTTCATTGATTTGACATCATATCAATATATTATAAAAAACAGTAATCTGGCGTTTGTTTTTCCTGAAAACAGTTTTAATACTGCGTGCAATGCATGGGGTACTACTAGCTGTGTCATAATTGGTTTTTCTCATTGGCTTAACTGTTATAGGTTTATATTGACAATTTTGTCTTTAAAGAAGACAATTACATGGATATTATTTTTGTCAATTGCAATACATGTCATGGACAATTTCATCCTTTTCCCTAAATTTCTTTGGAGGTTAAGATTATTCTGATTTCTTGCAATGATAGGGAGGAAAAAAAAAGGGTACATTTAGATGTCTTTTATCCAAAACAAATTAGCATATGATGTGCATAGCTTTGTTTAAGACAACTTGAGAGTGGTGTACATGCTTTTATGTAGTTAGGATAAGCTTGGGGACAGATATGAAGAATGTCTCTCTTTCTTTCTTTTTTTCCTTTCTTTCTCTCTGTTTTTTTTAGGAATAATGGTATGGTATGGCTAGAGAGGGGGATGGATATATATAATTATATATATAGAGAGAGATCCCAGATTTCAGGTGGTCCCCAACCATATATTCTTGTATGGATATTCGTCCATAAATCTTCTTAATCTCTTATAAATATTTTATTCATAACTTTCTGGTTTATTGACCTGTGCTATTTTTTTGGTGGTTACTTTTTATCAATTCTATGTCGGATATTCCAGAACAACCTGATTCATCTTTTAGAGATGGCATTGGTAGATGAAATGGACAAGGCAGGGGACATATTACTACCTACGTCTACTACCCCATTTGTAGATATGTTACCAGTGGTTGATACTTCTTCTTGTGATTTTGCGGACGATCACATCAAATGCCATCTTGAAGGTATTGTGTTCATTTGAAATATTGAACTTACTATTTTTCATGCCCCTTTGTTTTAGCCTAACCAAGTTTCTTTTTATGTGCAACAAGGCTTGAGATTCTCAAAGGAAGGAAAAACGTTGGATTGGCTTCTAAAGACATTAGCTTCTGAATGTGTTCTGCCTGATAGACAAGGATCTGGGTTCAGTGGACCTACTTATTGTCAAGATTGTGGTAAATTGGTCTTTATATTCCAGCAATGGGCAGTTGCCCATGGGACATACATTCCTCGTTTAATTTTGTTGTGCAACAAACTTATAAAAGTCAAAGAAGTGTTTGATGAGAGGGTAGAGGGTGTTAGTTTCCGAAAGAGACTTTCATTCGTTTTGAGGATTTTCAAGTTACTTGGAAGTCTTAGTAAGGATGTTCCGTTTGTTGAATATGATGCCTCATTGGTGAAGGCAGTTGCTTCATTTGCTGATGCTTTGTCTAGCTTATTTAGAGTTGAATTTGAGTTTGTGCCTGCACATGCTATTACTGAAGGGAGTTTTGAGAGCATCATCCTAATGGTTGCGGAAGAATTCGTTCACATTGTTCAAGTTTGTTTTGGCAATAGTAATGTTCCCCGGAATGTTGAAGCTTGTATTGTAGCATCTATAATGGAAAGTTTAGGTTCTTCTGTATGGAGATATGACAAGTCTGCTTCAAATTTGAAGATTCCATTAGCTTACTTCCCCCGCTTTGTGATTTATGCACTGAAACTCGTTGATGATCTGAAGAGACAAAGGCATCAGGTTTTTCTTGATTTTGATGCAGAACTTGCTGGTAGTTCCAATGCTATACAGAATGATTTACCCTCATGCATTGTTCATAATGAGACTGTTTCTTTGCTAAAGAAATACACTGTTGAAGAGCTTCTGAGAATAATATTTCCTACATCTAGCCAGTGGGTGGACAATTTGATTCAACTTGTTCTGTTCCTTCATTCTGAAGGAGTCAAATTGTGGCAAAAAATGGAAAGGTCATCTTCTAACTCTGCAAAATTTAGTTGCTCATCTGATGTTGAAAACGCTATATGTCATGAGGATGAGGCTATTTTTGGTAACCTTTTCTGTGAGACTGGGCGTTCTGTTGGATCTGCTGATGGATGTGAACAGCCAGCTGCTGCTGCGGTTTCTAGCTCCAGCTATCATAATATGCCAATTCAAGCTGCTATGGAGCTTCTGTACTTTCTTAAGACATCTGTCTTCTCTCCTGAATGGCATCATTCTCTTTATGAGGATGGATGCAGCAAAATCAGCACAACACACATTGACATTTTGCTTTCCCTACTCAATTGTCATGATAGTTCTGAAGATAATATGTCTCATAGTTTTACTCCTTTGCATGGAGACAAGAAGGTTGGACAAATTCATGAATTGTGCTTTGATCTTTTCCACAGCCTTCTTACACACCGTGCTTTGGCTGATTTTCTTGAAGTCTACCTTGTTGAGAAGATCCTTACTGTAGAGAATGGTGCCTTTAGTTACAATGACAGGACCCTGACTTTGCTGGCTCATACATTGTTTTCTCGGGCAGGATCTGTTGATGGTCTGTTGAGAACCAAAATTTATCAGGCATATGTTTCCTTCATTGTTGACAAGGCAAATTCTATATGTGTACAATGTCCAAGTGTCAAGGATCTTATTGGCACCCTCCCCTCATTGTTTCACAACGAGATAGTTCTTATGGCATTCCACTTGTCAGCTGAGAGGAAAAAGCAGTGTTGGCAAACCTAATTTTCTCAAACCTTAAAGAGGTTTCTAAAGCAGCATTGGATTTGAACAGCACACAGTTAACTTGCTGGGCTTTAGTGGTTTCAAGGTTGATCTTAATTCTTCGTCATATGATAATTCACCATCGTACGTGTCCAACACCATTGCTTTTAGATGTGCGGTCTAAGTTAAGGGAAGCCCCATTGTCTGGGTCATCTATACCATATAGTGTGAATGATCACTTGTCATCTTGGTCATCTAGTGCATTAAAAAGTATTATGGGTGGATGTCATGGAGAGGAAGCTGTTCTTAGTAGCTTGACTGATCAACTGATTGATGTTACAGGGTCTTCTTCACTTGCTAGGGATGACATGGCAATTGACAGCTTAAGCCTGAATTGGAATGACATATATCTGGTCTTTTCACAAGTTTTGGGATTTTGGAGAGGTAAAAAGGCATTGGCATTGGAAGATCTAGTTGTTGAAAGATATCTTTTCAGTCTTTGTTGGGATGTTCCTTTTAGTGGCTCTGAAGCAGACCAGACGATCATTCCTCAGAGTGGGGATTTCTCTCTGGACTTATCTAACATGTTACATTTTTTCCACTTCAGTCATTCTCTTCTAGGCCACCATGAGGTTATTGAGAAGTGCACTACTTTTCCAGATGTTATGCTAAGCTTGCTTCAGCATTTAGATGCTGTGTCCGTAACAGAAGACACTGATGAATTAGGTTGGGATTTTCTCAGAAATGGGATGTGGCTTTCTCTGGTGCTCTCATTCATTAATATTGGCATATGGAGATATTGTGCAGACAATGCACTTTCTAAAGAGGGTCTTATGTGGAGAGAATGCCCTTTTGGGGACCAAAATAATGTTAAACTTGCTGGAAGCATGATTTCTTCCATGATTGAAGCTGGGCACTTTGCATCACTTGTGGGCCTGTTTTCATCCTTGCTGAACAAATATGTGCAGATTCATCAGAAAGCTTTCCTTGCTACCCTTAGTTACAAACAGAAGTTGGCTCCTGGGTTCCCACCAATCTTGCTTCTCAAGCATACTGGAATTGATAAGTGCTTGCAGGATGAGCTTCTGCAGAGGAGTGGTTCTAACCTAAGTGAGCTGTATTCTGTTCTTAGTGTACTATCAAGGCTGGATGCTACTGTTCAGAAAAAAGCTTTAGGAACGCTATCTAGGGTCTCATCAGAGTGCTTGTTGCATGGTTTTCCATTTCATCTTTCTACTTATAGTGCAACTATGTTTTCTTCTATTCTTAGCATAAGAGGAATAATTTTTATTCTTGATGGGTTGCTTAGAATACAAGATGTTGGGGGAAATGTTAACTTGGAGATTGAGGTCCTTCAACAAATTCTTGATGTGGTAATGAATATCAAGTTTGATAAAATGTTTGAAAGTGTTCATGAGAAATGTGACTCTATATATCACAACCTAGGTGCAGAAATGGAAAGTTCAACTCATGCAAATTTAATTCTAATGAAGCAAATGGAAGGGTTTCTGAGGGACATCAATGCTGGAGGAGTTTCTGATGGCATAGTTGATGAATGGATGATAAGCAAGATAATTGACATTTTGAGCAGCCTCAGAAAAGACCCATCAAAATCTGCCATATTCCAGTTTTATCTTGGTGTTGAAAATGCAGCAGGGCAGATCAACAGGCTTTTACAGTTGCATCCTGGTGGTTGTTTGGTTCTGATTGACTCTCTAAATAGCTGTTACTCTGAATCGGTTAATGTGAAGGTTCTTGATTTCTTTGTCGATCTTTTATCTAGTGAATTGTTTCCTGATCTCAGGAGGATGATGCAAACAAAATTTCTGGATAAAGATCCACATAACTTGTCCAAGTGGTTGGAGACAAGGCTTTTGGGCACCTTAATGGATTCTGGTGGTGGGGCTAGCAGTGCTAAGGGTTGCTCCACTTTGCTTAGGGAATCGACAATGAATTTCATTCTTTGTCTTGTGTCATTGTCCTCTGAGCAAACAAAAGAACTGCAGCACCACATCTTTGATTCTGCATCGTTGTCTCTTGATACTGCTTTTTTGCAATTTGATATACATGCAGCCAAGTCATATTTCAATTTCATCGTTCAAATTTCAAAAGGAGAATCCTTGATAAAATTGTTGCTGACAAGGACAGTAATGCTGATGGAGAAGTTGGTGGGCAATGAACAGTTGCTTCCAGGTCTAAAGTTTCTATTTGGTTTCATTGAAAATGTTTTGAGTGATTGTGGCTCTGGTAAAATCTCCCCACAAAGGACAACTAGCAAATGTTCTTCAGGCACTTCTCTTGGGGTAGGCCATGTTGCTGGACCAGTGGAATCCAGGAAGAACTCTGAGACATTTGTTCTTTCTGCCAATCAGGAAGGTGGATCAGCCTCTCTTGAATGTGATGCAACTTCTGTTGATGATGATGAGGATGATGCGACTTCTGATGGTGAGGTTGGTAGCATAGATAAAGATGAAGATGAAGATGCTAACAGTGAAAGGGTGCTTGCTTCTAAAGTCTGCACATTTACATCCAGTGGCAGCAATTTTATGGAGCAACATTGGTACTTTTGCTATACATGTGATCTGACAGTATCCAAAGGCTGTTGTTCTGTTTGTGCTAAGGTTTGTCATCGGGGTCATCGTGTTGTTTATTCCCGCTCAAGTAGGTTCTTTTGTGACTGTGGTGCTGGGGGTGTTAGAGGTAGTAACTGTCAATGTTTGAAACCTCGGAAATTCACTGGAAGTAGCAGTGCACCTGTTCGAAATTCTAATACTTTTCAGTCATTTTTACCCTTTTCTGGGGATGGGGATCAGTTGCCAGATAGTGATTCAGATTTTGAGGAGGACATTTGTTCAGATGTAGATAACCCTTTCAAATTGTCTATACCAAAAGAGCTTCAAGAAGGGATTCCACTATTATTGGAGGAACTTGATATTGAGGGCCGAGTACTCAATCTTTGCACTTCATTGATGCCATCAATAATGAGTAGAAGAGACTCTGACCATTTGAAGGATAAGAAAATAGTACTGGGTGAAGATAAGGTGCTATCTTATGGCGTGGATCTCTTGCAACTGAAGAAAGCATATAAAAGTGGATCTTTAGATCTGAAGATAAAAGTTGATTATTCAAATGCCAAGGAGCTTAAATCACATTTAGCAAGTGGGTCTCTTGTCAAGTCATTGCTTAGTGTTAGCCAACGAGGTCGACTTGCTGTTGGTGAAGGTGACAAGGTTGCTATATTTGATGTTGGCCAGTTAATTGGACAAGCTACCATTGCACCTGTCACGGCTGACAAGACCAATGTAAAACCACTTTCTAAAAATGTTGTTCGCTTTGAAATTGTACAACTTGCTTTCAACCCTGTGGTGGAGAATTATCTTGTGGTAGCTGGTTATGAAGATTGCCAGGTCCTTACATTAAATCCTCGTGGTGAAGTGATTGACCGACTTGCAGTTGAATTAGCTTTGCAAGGTGCATATATTAGACGTGTGGATTGGGTCCCAGGCTCACAGGTTCAGTTAATGGTTGTGACTAACAGATTTGTTAAAATATATGACCTGTCCCTGGACAATATCAGTCCAATGCACTACTTCACTTTGCCAGATGATATGATTGGGGATGCTACTCTTTATCTGGCTTCCCAGGGAAGGATGTTTCTTATTGTTCTGTCAGAAAATGGTTCCATATTCAGGTTAGAATTATCTGTCAAAGGAAATGTTGGGGCCACGCCATTGAATGAAAATTTACAGCTTCAGGGTAAAGAAATTCATGCAAAGGGTTCATCATTGTACTTCTCCTCAACTTATAAGCTACTTTTTATATCATTTCAAGATGGTACCACAGTGATTGGACGATTAAGTTCTGATGCTTCCTCTCTAGTTGATATCTCTTCTGTATATGAGGAACAAGATGGTAACCTGCGGCCAGCTGCAGTACATCATTGGAAAGAACTGGTGGCTGGAAGTGGCTTATTTGTCTGCATATCAAGTGGGAAATCAAATTCTGCACTTGCTGTGTCAATGGGGGAATGTGAAATACTTGCACAGAACTTGCGGCATCCTGGGGGTTCAACCTCACCTATAGTTGGGATGACTGCTTACAAACCACTATCAAAGGATAAAATACACTGTCTTGTCTTGCATGATGATGGTAGCCTTCAAATATATTCACATGTTCCTCTGGGAATTGATGCTGGTATGACTGCAGCGTCGGAGAAAGTTAAGAAATTAGGATCTAATATACTCAGTAAAGCCTATGCTGGTACAAATCCTGAATTTCCTCTTGATTTTTTTGAGAAAACTGTTTGCATTACGTCAGATGTGAAACTGGGTGGCGATGCCATCAGAAATGGTGATTCTGAAGGAGCAAAACAGAATTTATCAAATGACGATGGTTTTCTTGAAAGTCCAAGCCCGGCAGGTTTTAAGGTATTCTTTGAAAGTGAATGTTAACTAGCCTTTGCCTTGTTTGCCGCTGTTTCAATTCTTAGTATCCGCTAATTGTGCCCCTCTCACGTCTTCTTGAGTATGGGTGCAGAGATTATAATGCTTTAGGAGGCATGTAGCATCACAGATATCATTATTGTCCAAGTTATTAGATACAGGCCCGTCTTTAGTGAAGTGAACTACTATATTTTTGGGTATATAAATTGATCATAATATTTTGGGAGTTTGATTCACAGAATTATAAATTTCTCTGCTACAGTATGTTTTTTGTTCAATGCTTAATTCTTTATTTCTCCGGATTCTTGCTAATTTTTCAAAAATCCCCTATCAAAGTAGTAGACATTATTTTACTTTTACTTTTACATATTTGTAGGTTGTTGTTGTTTATATTATTATAATTAATAATAATTATAATTTTAATAATATCACTAATTATACCTTTTATTTGAGTATATTTTGGTACTCATGATTTACTATTTCACTACTCATGATTTACTATTTCACTATTTGTTCTTCTAAATTTCTCTCATTGTTTTTATTTTAACATGCATATATGATATATTTTAATTTTTGTTTTCATCTTATTATTTAATAATTTATAACTTATTACTATTAATATATTTTATTTATGGTTTATTGTTAAGTTATAGTTGTTAATTTTTCAAGTTTACCTTTACTTTTATTTATTATTTTGATGAGAGTATTAGGGTAGGGATGGAAACAATAGTCTTTTAAAATTTTTAGAATATTCCCCCTGGGCACTGGTGGGAAGCCAACATTCCCACTCCTGTAGAATGAACTTGCGTATGAGCAGGGGATGGTGGTGTTTTCTGGGAATCTTTTAATCCAGGGAATGGAACATTCAAGAATATTTTGTGTTGGTCCTACTAATTTGAACAGATATTTCGTGAAACTTAGCTTGCCCTTTGCAATTGATATTCTTAAGGGTGATTAATTTGATTACATATACTTTGCTCTCCATATAGGTGCTAAATTTGATATTTAGTAGAAACAGTGTTGATGGTTAGGGGAACAGTAATTGTGTCCTGCTCTTCTTTAAATTTGATATTTTCTTTATGGGAAGGCAGTGACCTTCCTCTTGAACCTTGTTGCTTATAGTTCCTTTTCATCTCAGTGCTTTTGTGATAGATATATAACTATAATCAGGTTTTAGTTACTAGAAACTTAAATATTAATAGAGCTTCTATGATACCGAGGCACAGACATGATTGTGTGGGGGGTGGGTCTAATGGTGGTTATTGTTTCTCGTTCACACTAGTGTATTTCTATCTTGATAGGATCCTGGTGCTGGGTTACCCTGCACCGTGTTAATTGCTCTGGTTGCAATATATGCACCTATATGACGTGCTTGATATATTTTCCCCCTCCATAATTCTTTTTCTTTGTGCACTTACACAGATATCTGTCTTCAATTCACATCCTGATATTGTCATGGTTGGCTTTCGAGTTCATGTGGGAAATACATCGGCAAGCCACATACCTTCAAGTATTTCTATTTTCCAGAGAAGTATTAAATTAGATGAAGGAATGCGGTCCTGGTATGATATCCCATTTACTGTTGCTGAATCACTCCTTGCTGATGAAGAATTTTCTATCTCTGTGGGGCCAACCTTCAATGGCTCAACACTTCCCAGAATAGATTCCCTTGAAGTTTATGGACGAACTAAAGATGAATTTGGTTGGAAAGAGAAAATGGATGCTGTTTTGGATATGGAAGCGAGGTCACTTGGTCTGAATTCCTCTGTGGCTGCATCTGGGAAAAAGTGCCGATCAATGCAGTCTGCACCTATTCAGGAGCAGGTAATAGCTGATGGACTTAAGCTTATTACTAAGTTCTATTCACTATGTAGGCAGCAAGGGTGCTCAAGGCTTGAGGAAGCGAAAGCTGAGCTCAGCAAACTCAAGTGCAAGCATTTACTTGAAATAATATTTGAGAGGGACCGTGAACCAGTACTGCAGGCTTCTGCTTGTTGTGTCTTACAGGCTGTTTTTCCTAAGAAAGAGATATACCATCAGGTAATCTGTTATAACTCCTCCTTATATTATGCCAAGTTTGCTATGACTCACTGGAGTATTCTCACATTAGGTTAAGGATACCATGCGGCTTCTTGGGGTGGTGAAATCAGCCTCATTACTATCATCAAGGCTTGGGACAGGTGGTAGTACAGGAAGCTGGATCATTGAAGAGTTCACTGCCCAGATGCGGGCAGTTTGTAAAATTGCATTACAGCGGCGTTCTAATTTAGCAATTTTTCTGGAGACAAATGGTAGTTTTATTTACTTAAGGACTGAGATTTCCTTTTCCATTCCCATGGCTTCTGGAGACAAATGGTATATTTTGATTTGACATAAGCTGCTTCTCTTGCTGGTGCAGGTTCTGAGGTGGTGGATGCCCTTATGCAAGTTCTGTGGGGAATTTTGGACCTTGAGCAGCCTGACACACAAACTATGAACAACATTGTCATGTCTGCTGTTGAACTAATTTATTGCTATGCTGAATGCTTGGCTTTACATGGAAAGGATGTACCACTGCGCACTGTGACACCTGCTGTTGCATTACTCAAGAAACTTTTATTTTCCTCCAATGAGGCTGTTCAGACTGCCAGCAGGTATTTTCCATCCTTTTTACCTGAATTAAGATATATTTTCAGCCAGAAATGATATTTACGTTTTACTTGTGTTCCTTTTCCAGTTTGGCCATATCTTCAAGATTACTCCAGGTCCCTTTTCCAAAGCAGACCATGTTAGCTACAGATGATGCTGTTGAGACTGTTGTGTCTGTTCCTAGGGCTCCTGATGCTAGTGGTGGAAATAATCAAGTCATGATTGAAGAAGACTCTATAACTTCTTCTGTTCAATACTGTTGTGATGGTTGCTCTACTGTACCTATACTAAGGCGAAGATGGCATTGTACTGTTTGTCCTGATTTTGACTTGTGTGAGGCATGCTATGAAGTACTTGATGCAGATCGGCTCCCTCCACCACACTCTAGAGATCATCCTATGACAGCAATTCCAATTGAAGTAGATTCAGTGGGAGATGGCAATGAATTTCACTTCACACCTGATGACGTTAGTGACCCTAACTTGTTGCCTATTCCAGCTGATGGCAACACACAGAATTCTTCTCCATCAATTCATGTCTTGGAGCCCAATGATTCTGGAGAATTTGCTGCTTCATTGACTGATCCTGTCTCAATTTCTGCTTCAAAACGGGCTGTAAACTCCTTACTTCTTTCTGATCTTCTTGAACAATTGAAAGGATGGATGAATACGACCTCAGGAATGCGGGCAATTCCTGTTATGCAGCTTTTCTACAGATTATCATCTGCAGTGGGTGGACCTTTTATAGACTGCTCAAAGCCTGATGGCCTAGATTTAGAGAAGCTTATCAAATGGTTTTTGGATGAGATTAATCTCAACAGATCATTTGTGGCCAAAACCCGTTCATTATTTGGGGAAGTTGCTATCCTTGTCTTCATGTTCTTCACCTTGATGCTTAGAAATTGGCATCAGCCTGGTAGTGATAATTCTGTGCCAAGGCCGAGTGGAACTGTTGACACACATGATAAGAATGTCATTCAGCTTCCGTTATCCACTACTGGGGCTGCCAAGCCTTCAGTAGATGACCATGATAAGACTGACTTTGCATCACAGCTGCTTCGAGCTTGTGATTCTCTTAGGCAGCAAGCTTTTGTGAATTATTTGATGGATATATTGCAGCAGCTAGTGCATGTTTTCAAATCTCCTGTTAATAGTGAAAGTGCACTTAATTTTAATGCTGGGCCTGGGTGTGGGGCTCTTCTAACAGTACGTAGAGACTTACCTGCAGGCAATTTTTTGCCTTTTTTTTCTGATTCATATGCCAAAGCACATCGAACAGATATATTTATGGATTACCACAGGCTGTTGCTCGAGAATACTTTCCGACTGGTTTATACTCTTGTTCGGCCAGAAAAGCATGACAAAATTGGGGAAAAAGAAAAAGTCTACAAGATGTCACATGGGAAGGATTTGAAGCTAGAGGGATATCAAGATGTTCTCTGCAGTTACATTAATAATCCTCATACAAATTTTGTGAGAAGATATGCCAGAAGGCTTTTCCTACATCTCTGTGGAAGCAAGTCTCATTATTACAGTGTCCGGGACTCTTGGCAGTTCTCTAGTGAAGTGAAGAGACTTTATAAGCATGTAAACAAGTCTGGTGGTTTTCAAAACTCAATTCCATATGAGAGAAGTGTAAAGATTGTGAAGTGCCTTTCCACTATGGCTGAAGTAGCGGCTGCTCGTCCGCGGAACTGGCAAAAATATTGTTTAAGGCATGGAGATATTTTGCCCTTCCTGGTGGATGGAGTGTTTTATCTTGGAGAGGAATCTGTTATTCAGACGCTTAAACTTCTGAATTTGGCCTTCTATACTGGAAAAGATACTAGCCTTGTGTCCCAGAAAACAGAAGCTGGAGACACAAGCTCAAATAAATCAGGTTCCCTATCTCAAGAAGTAAAGAAGAAAAAGAAAGGGGATGAGGGGGCTGAGTCTGGTTTGGAGAAGTCCTATTTAGATATGGAGGCAGCAGTAGATGTCTTCACTGACAAAGGTGGTGATATCTCAAAGCAGTTTATAGAGTGCTTTCTTTTGGAGTGGAATTCCAGTACTGTTCGTGCAGAGGCTAAATTAACTCTTTATGGTGTTTGGCATCATGCTAAGCAGTCATTTAAGGAAATTTTGCTAGTGGCTCTCTTGCAGAAAGTTAAGTTCCTACCAATGTATGGCCAGAATATTGTGGAGTACACAGAACTTCTAACTTGGTTGCTTGGAAAATCCCCTGATATGAGTTCAAAGCACCAGATTTCTGAACTTGTGGACAGATGCTTGACCCCTGATGTGATTAGGTGCATTTTTGAGACACTCCATTCGCAGAATGAGCTGTTAGCAAATCATCCAAATTCCCGTATATATAATACATTAAGTGGCTTAGTGGAATTTGATGGATATTATCTTGAGAGTGAACCTTGTGTTGCCTGCAGCTCCCCTGAAGTACCTTACAGCAAGATGAAGCTAGAATCTCTAAAGTCTGAAACGAAATTCACTGACAATCGTATTATAGTGAAATGCACTGGGAGTTACACAATCCAGACTGTGACAATGAATGTTCATGATGCCAGAAAGTCAAAGTCAGTTAAGGTTTTGAACCTATACTACAATAATCGACCAGTTGCTGACTTGTCAGAGTTAAAAAATAACTGGTCTTTGTGGAAGCGTGCAAAAAGTTGCCATCTTTCTTTTAATCAGACTGAACTTAAAGTTGAATTCCCCATTCCTATCACTGCTTGTAACTTCATGATTGAACTGGATTCATTCTATGAAAATCTTCAGGCATTGTCACTTGAACCATTGCAGTGCCCTCGATGTAGTCGTCCTGTCACTGATAAGCATGGAATATGTAGCAATTGCCATGAAAATGCTTATCAATGCAGGCAATGCCGCAACATCAATTATGAGAATTTGGATTCTTTTCTGTGTAATGAGTGTGGGTACAGCAAATATGGGCGGTTTGAGTTTAACTTCATGGCGAAGCCGAGTTTTACATTTGATAATATGGAAAATGATGAAGATATGAAGAGGGGATTGGCAGCCATAGAATCTGAGTCAGAGAATGCTCATAGGCGATATCAACAACTCTTGGGCTTCAAGAAGCCCTTGCTTAAAATTGTTTCAAGCATTGGTGAGAACGACATGGACTCACAACAGAAGGACTCTGTGCAACAAATGATGGTATCTATACCTGGACCTTCTTGTAAAATCAATCGGAAAATTGCTCTTCTTGGAGTCCTGTATGGTGAGAAGTGCAAAGCAGCTTTTGATTCTGTGAGCAAAAGTGTGCAGACGCTCCAAGGGCTGCGGAAGGTGCTGATGAATTACTTGCACCAGAAGCATTCTGACAATGGCATGGCTTCAAGATTTGTAGTTTCAAGATCCCCAAATAATTGTTATGGCTGTGCGACTACTTTTGTAACACAATGTCTGGAAATGTTACAAGTGTTGGCAAGGCATCCAAATTCCAAGAAGCTAGTTGTTTCAGCTGGCATTTTGTCTGAGTTATTTGAGAATAATATTCATCAAGGTCCCAAAGTGGCCCGTGTCCAAGCAAGAGCAGTGCTTTGTTCTCTATCAGAGGGTGATGTAAATGCAATTACTGAGTTGAACGGTTTGATACAAAAGAAGGTTATGTATTGCCTTGAGCATCATCGCTCCATGGATATTGCTGTCACTACACGTGAAGAGATGCTATTACTTTCTGAGGTGTGTTCTTTGGCTGATGAATTCTGGGAATCAAGATTACGTATTGTGTTTCAGTTGTTGTTCTCTTCCATCAAGTTAGGTGCTAAACATCCTGCCATATCTGAGCATGTCATTCTTCCTTGCCTGAGAATTGTATCTCAGGCATGTACACCTCCAAAACCTGATAATCCAGAAAAAGAGCAAGGCCTTGGGAAGTCTCAAGCGACAAAGGATGAAAGTAATACAAATGCATCTGGGTTTTTGTCTAATGTCAGTGGGACTAAGTCATTTCCAGACTCATCAGAAAGAAATTGGGATGCGACACCTAAAACGCAGGATATTCAATTAGTGAGCTATGCAGAGTGGGAGAGGGGAGCTTCCTATATTGATTTTGTTAGAAGGCAATACAAAGTTTCTCAGGCTGTCAAAGCTGCTGGTCAAAGGTCGCGACCCCAAAGACATGATTACCTAGCCCTTAAATATGCTTTGAGATGGAAGCGTTGTGTTTGTAAGACAGCCAAAAGTGACTTATCTGCATTTGAGTTGGGATCATGGGTTAAAGAACTTGTTTTGAGTGCTTGTTCTCAATCTATTAGGTCAGAGATGTGCATGCTGATAAACTTACTTTGTGCTCAAAGTTCATCCAGGCGATTTAGGTTGCTGAACTTGCTTGTCTCTTTGTTACCTGCAACACTGGCTGCTGGTGAAAGTGCTGCAGAATATTTTGAACTGCTGTTCAAGATGATAGATTCAGAAGATGCTCGTTTATTTTTGACTGTTCGGGGATGCCTGCGGACAATCTGCACTCTAATTACTCAAGAAGTTAATAATGTGGAGTCTTTGGAAAGAAGTCTTCACATAGATATATCTCAGGGATTTATCCTTCACAAGCTCATAGAACTTCTTGGTAAATTTTTAGAAGTTCCCAATGTCAGATCCAGGTATGGATATGCTGCTTGAATCATTACAATTTCGTGTTCAATGTACCTTTTCATCATCTTATAAAACTAAATTTTTTTGTTTTATATTTTTTATGTCAGATTCATGCGAGACAATTTACTTTCTGAAATACTTGAAGCACTTATAGTAATTCGGGGCTTGATAGTGCAAAAGACAAAGTTGATCAGCGATTGCAATAGGCTCCTGAAGGATCTTTTAGATAGTCTATTGCTGGAAAGCAGTGAAAACAAGCGGCAGTTCATTCGGGCCTGCATAAATGGCTTGCAAATACATGGAGAGGAGAGGAAGGGACGTGCTTGTTTGGTAAGGACAGGCAACGGTTTGATTTTTTTTTTTTTTGGGGACAGCCAACTGTTTTTATTTGCTTTATTTCTAGACTCAATTATATCTGTTTCTGTCTAATAATTATCCAGTTTGATTCTCTTAGATGCTATGATCTGCTTCTCTTAATCATAAACTGTTCTGGTGACTAGTTTCCGGACATATTATATATAGACACAGTGTATATATACACATTATATCAATTTTTTGTTTGTTATCTATTCCGTTGATCAGGGAAATCATTGCTAATTTACTTTAAATCTTTACTGGCATTTGCAGTTTATCTTAGAACAACTCTGCAATCTGATCTGCCCCTCGAAACCAGAGCCTGTGTATTTGTTGGTTTTGAACAAGGCTCATACACAGGAAGAGTTTATTAGGGGATCAATGACTAAGAATCCATATTCAAGTGCTGAAATTGGTCCATTGATGCGTGATGTTAAGAATAAGATTTGCCATCAGTTGGATCTGTTAGGTCTCCTGGAGGATGACTATGGAATGGAGCTGCTAGTCGCTGGCAATATCATCTCTCTTGATTTGAGCATTGGACAAGTTTATGAGCAAGTGTGGAAGAAGTCAAATCAATCATCAAACAGTGTGGCAAATTCTACCTTATTGGCAACAAATGCTATTACCACATCGAGAGACTGCCCACCTATGAATGTGACTTATCGACTTCAGGTTTGTTGCTATTAATAAACATTTGATTTAGCTCATTCATGAAGGATCTTTGGTTTTGATTGCGTACCATTGTTGATGTTGATATCTGATTGCTAGGGATTGGATGGCGAAGCTACTGAACCTATGATTAAAGAATTGGAGGAAGATAGAGAGGAATCTCAGGATCCAGAGGTCGAGTTTGCCATAGCAGGTGCTGTTCGTGAGTGTGGTGGATTGGAGATACTATTGGGCATGATTCAGGTTTGTAGAATAATTCTCTGTTTATATTCTCAGAATTCTCTGAAGAGCTCATTCATTGTGTTTTGATGTTGTTCTGTTGCTGCCTCTTAAAATTAGAATAACAATCACTGACAATTTGCCTTTGGTGGAAGGGAAACTCCTAATTGTATTGGTAGGAATTATAATATATTCAAATTTTATCTATATCGTGTTCAAGTCCTAGTCAAAGCATGGATTAGGGTCTGCTTGAAATTTCAAGAGTGATAGCTTTTGACAAAAATGTTATACATGATTCGTAGGCGATGAATTGTCAAGTCAGATGCTATCATGTGTTCTATAAGTCAATCCATCAAGGAATTTATCTAAAAAATTCTTGCTTTTTTATTATCTTCTATTTTCACTCTGATTGTTGCATGGAAAATTGCACGTGAATAAATTTGTAAGAGGATTGAGAAACTTAGAATTGAAGATTCCCTTTTTGTTCAGTATTTTTACTCTTCCACAAGAGAATCTCACCCCCCCTTTCTTCCTCACTTCGTGTGTGTAGATAGATATTACATTTGGGATTTTTGCAATACCATTCTTTCTCATCTGCTTGTTGCTCAACTACTTTTTCAGCATAAATTCATTTTCTGAAAATTAAAAAGAGAGATGTAAGTCAAGAAAAAGCATCTCATCTGGAGAACCTTAGATTTCCCTCTGCTAGCCCCATCATGGTCTTTCTTATTCTAATCTTTGTTATACATAACAGAACATGGGTTTCAGAGGGCAGTTGATATTGTCTCCTTGATTATGATGAAAACTTTACTGTGAGCCGTTCTTTTGAAATGTGCAAGGATGGTCAGATGAAATAGGAGTTTTTATGGACCTTTTTCACTATATAATTCAAAATTCTGTCCTATATTGGCTATTTATTTGTGAACCTAAAGTCTAATCATCCTTCCCTTGATTATAAGGAAACCTATGCTCTATGGTTAGGATTAATTCATTTACATTAGCTGATTTTTTTTTTCCACTTGGCATTGTATGCTTTTGAAAGTTACTGAGTACTGTGATTATTTCCTTTCCATTGATAATTTTAGTAATTTTCCTGATGAGATAGCAACAATCACTGTTGGCTTTTGTCTGTGTTGTTTCTGGCATGATCTTCAGTAGAAAGTGAGTGTTCACCTAGCCTGTACATTCATGGTTCAGATTTTCCAAGGCACTGAACTTTATAAAATGCTTTTTCAATTTAAATGATTATTTCTGCTTATTGTATCGGCTTCAACTAAAAGATGATAGAATGATTTCATTTACTTTGTTTCCAAATCATAGATTTCCCTCCTTTATTTATTTTCTTTTCAAGTCCTAGTCCAACCTCTTGTGAAGGCATCTCATTTTCAAATGATGTGCAGCGCCTACGGGATGATTTGAAGTCCAACAAGGAGCAGTTGGTTGCAGTTCTTAATCTGCTAATGTACTGTTGCAAGATAAGAGAAAACAGGCGGGCCTTGTTGAAGCTGGCAGCCTTAGGTTTACTGCTTGAGACAGCTAGGAGGGCTTTCTCTGTTGATGCCATGGAGCCAGCTGAAGGCATACTTTTGATTGTTGAAAGCCTGACATTAGAAGCAAATGAAAGTGACAATATTAGTACCACTCAAAGTGCTCTTACTGTCACTAGTGAAGAAGCAGGAACAGGTGAACAGGCCAAGAAAATAGTTCTCATGTTCTTGGAGAGATTGTCCCATCCGTTGGGCCTCAAAAAATCCAACAAACAGCAGAGAAATACGGAGATGGTTGCTCGAATATTGCCCTATTTAACATATGGCGAGCCTGCTGCAATGGAAGCTCTCATCCAACATTTTAGCCCTTACTTGCAAGATTGGGGTGCATTTGATCATTTGCAGAAACAACTGGACGATGTGAAAGATGAGAGCATTGTTCAGCAAGCTTTAAAGCAGAGGTTTACACTGGAAAACTTTGTTAGGGTTTCGGAGTCCCTGAAGACAAGTTCTTGTGGAGAGAGATTGAAGGACATAATCCTAGAAAGGGGTATAACCGGAACTGCGATAAGACATCTGAAGAATAGTTTTGGCAATGCAAGGCAGGCTGGCTTTAGGACTAGTGCTGAATGGGCATCAGGCTTAAAATTGCCATCTGTGCCTCTCATACTGTCTATGCTGAGAGGTTTGTCAATGGGGCATCTCCCAACTCAAAGGTGTATTGATGAAGAAGGTGTCTTGCCTTTGCTGCATGCCCTGGAAGGAGTCCCTGGAGAGAATGAGATTGGAGCAAGGGCTGAAAACTTGTTGGACACACTATCTAACAAGGAAGGAAAAGGAGATGGATTCTTGGGAGAGAAAGTAAGCAAGTTACGGCATGCAACAAAGGACGAAATGAGGCGCCGAGCTCTTCGGAAGAGAGAGGAGTTGCTTCAGGTACTGTATAATGAGCCTCTTGTTTACTGGGTGCCTACGTGCATATTATCTCTTAACAAAAAGTCCAGGCTTAATGCTTTACACTCTGCAGAAGCTGATTTCTTTTCCCCCTTTGGTGCTGTCTTTTCCGTTTGACGCAGGGGCTTGGAATGCGCCAGGAACTTTCATCTGATGGAGGTGAGCGGATTGTTGTTGCCCGGCCTGTCCTTGAAGGTTTGGAAGACGTGCAGGAGGAGGAAGATGGATTGGCTTGCATGGTTTGCCGGGAGGGATACAGTTTACGACCCACCGACTTACTGGGCGTTTACTCTTACAGCAAGCGTGTGAATCTAGGAGTAGGTGCATCAGGAAATCCCCGTGGAGAATGTGTTTACACCACTGTTAGTTACTTCAATATCATTCATTTCCAGTGCCATCAGGAGGCCAAAAGAGCGGACTCTGCCTTGAGGAACCCCAAGAAAGAGTGGGAGGGGGCCACGCTTAGAAATAATGAATCTCTTTGCAATTCTTTGTTCCCCATTAGAGGTCCATCTGTTCCGCTGCCACAGTACATTCGCTACATTGACCAGTACTGGGACCACCTCAATGGGCTCGGACGTGCTGATGGAAGCAGGCTCCGCTTGTTAACCTATGACATTGTTCTGGTATGTTGTCTTGCTGCTTTCTGTATTTTGTCCCTGGATAATGTGAGTTTAGTTCCAAAGTAAAAATGAAAAAAACCTGATTAAAGGATTTTAAGTGTGAGAAAATAGTTTATCTTCTCTACTAGATTCATATAATCTGTCTCTAGATGGTTGTAGCATCTCACACTGGTGTCCCCCCCCCCCTAGATGCTTGCTCGGTTTGCAACAGGAGCATCGTTCAGTGCAGACAGCCGAGGTGGTGGCCGGGAAAGCAACTCTCGGTTCCTTCCTTTCATGATTCAAATGGCACGTCATCTCCTTGATCAGGGAAGTCCTGCCCAGCGTCGAACCATGGCTCGGGCTGTATTGGCATACATAACTAGTTCCACGTCAGATCCCAGACCCCCTACTCCATCCGGACCACAACCTACCATAGGGACAGAAGAAACCGTCCAATTCATGATGGTGAACTCACTCCTCTCGGAGTCTTACGAGTCATGGTTGCACCACCGCCGTGCATTCTTACAGCGCGGCATTTACCATGCATACATGCAGCACACTCATGGTCGCTCCCCAGCACGCTCCTCATCCGGATCAGCAGAATCATCAGGGAGTAGTAGCACTGCCGTGGAAACAGGGCAGAGTGAGGATCTGTTATCTATCATTCGACCCATGCTGGTTTATACAGGCTTGATTGAGCAGCTTCAGCAATTCTTCAAGGTGAAGAAACCGGCTGGTTCTGGTTCAACAACTGTATCAACAATGGTGGCGGAGGCGGCGGCAGAAGGGGAAGATGAGAGCGGGGACTTGGAAAGCTGGGAAGTGGTGATGAAGGAGCGGCTGTTAAATGTGAAAGAGCTGCTGGGATTCTCCAAGGAGATGCTGTCATGGCTGGATGAGATGAATTCTGCCAGTGATATGCAGGAGGCCTTTGACATTGTTGGCGTTCTTGCCGATGTCTTGTCTGGTGGCTTCACCCACTGTGATGATTTTGTTCAGGCTGCCATTAATGCTGGAAAATCCTGAATGCAATGATTCACATCTCTTTAACGGAGCATTTTAAAACGCATGTCTTCCTACTTATGTTCTTGTGGACGCACGATGCTTGTGGAAATAAGAGTGGCAGTTTTGGTTGAGAGAATGCTACGTTGCCGCCTATTTACATATATATATATATATACACACACACACACACATATAGCCAAAAAAGAAAGCCATCTACTGTACGTTATCAGTAAGTAAAATCATAGATGTTATCTTTATTCGTATCATTAAATTTTTTATAATTTTATGAGGCGTTTTCAAATATTTGAAACTAGAAAAAAAGCTAATAATATAAATGTTAAAAATATGATACTTTCTCCTTTCTCTCTTTCCTTCTTTGTTTTTTAACACGCCTTCTTGAGGCATTTCATGTTTCTTATTATATATATCTTTTACAAAATCTATGAAGTATTTATTGACATTTTTTTTCTAATAAATTCTTTATTATTATAACCCCTTTCCCTTCGAAGAAGAAGCATATTTAATTTCAGTACATAACTTGAAGAATTTAAAGGTTAATTTTTATTATACAATCATGAATATCTAATTGTAATATGTATGATTTGATTGAGAGATCTGATAAACAAGTACTATATAATTACTTTCGCTTATTATAATTTATACATACTAATACTCTTTCCATTCCATAACATAAAATATTTTAAAAAAGTTTTGTCTTGGTCAAATTATAGAACATTTGGTCATTCTTATAATTATTTTTTCAACAATAGTTTTACTTCATTTATTATTATTTTTGAAAAAGTGATTTATTAAATTTTATTTGTCATTATTAAGGCATTTATATATAGTTTTTTTTTCTAAATATACTAAGAGCAATGGGTATACTTCTCCCAATTAAATTGTTATATACATTAAGGTAGGAGTTTAAATATCTAACTAATTGTCTAAGTAACAAAAGTCTTTATCACTTATGCCAACTTTAGTTTATAGTAACATTTATATATAGTATTTAATAATGATCAAGGTTTCACTTCAACTTTCTTTCTTTCTTTTTTAAAGAATAATAAAGTATTTATCAATTCCTCATAAGAGCATTATAGATTTGAGAGATTACACCGCTTTTTTTTTTTTTTTCAAGATAAGGATCACAATCAAATTCTTATAACCAAAAGAGTAAGAGCAATTCCATGTTGTTTGTACCTCATCCCCTGACATACATGGTAATCCAGTTGCTTCACACCATTTCTAAGCTGCCAGAAACTCCACCAATCTGCTTCTTACTTGCTTATCCCAGCAGGCAATTAATTCCACTCCATCTCCACAAACTAGTTATTCTAAATTAACAAATTATACAAAAATAACTAACTGGAAATATTATTTCCATAAGATCAAGGAAAGATTAATATTGCACAATTTATATTTTATATAGTAAACAGTTAAAGAAAATAATTCTTACCAACTAAACCAAGTGGCTAAAAGTTCAAATCTCATCTCTTGTGTATATGGCAATTTAGTTAATAGAGGTGTATCCGTTGATCTCCATACCTTAGAACAAATATTATTTACTGTTAGATTTTACTTTTTATACTTGAAAAAACAAGAATTTTAAATTTCTCAGGAATGGGGAGCCAACCTTGTAGAGTGAATGTATTATACGTGTGCAACATGATTTAGTCCATCAAGAGCACCCTCGTTTTCATAACGAAGATTTCTTCTAAATTAAGAAACAAATAATCAAGGCTATGAAATTCTGCCCCCGTTCATCAAATACAATTACTTTCTCCTTTTTAGTATTATAAAACACTTTTAATCAAATTACATTTTCAATAAGTTAGTTTATTATCTTTAAAATCACACACTCTTTTTATATTTATCTTTATTTAATATGATGTCTTAATTATAAAAATTAAATAATTATACTTCCTAATTAATAATATTTTTTAAAAATTTTATTAATTGTACATTGAAAGACTCAAAATTCTTTATATTTTTTAATGATATTTTGAAAAAAAAAGTACTATAATATTGAAAGGAATGAGTATAAAGTATGGCATTCATATCACTTTCATTTGTGTTATTGTGATAATTTTTTTATAAAAATAATTAATTTAGTCTAAAATTAATGGAACTACCATCATGAAATTAAAGTCAGATCTCATGATTTGTTTAACGTCAACTACAAAATAATAAATAAAGGAATTCATGAATTTCAACGATATATGTTCGCCTCCACTTTCCAAACACACACACACTTTGTGGCTCCATTACCTTGTAATGGAATTTGACACTCTCCCACTATCGTTGTGTGTGTGTTAAATTACCGATCAACAATATTTTGAACTTTGACAGAGCAATTAATTAAAATCCCATTGAAAATCCAGTTAGAATACTATTAATTAATTAAATTAGAGTTGACAAGCACATAACTCAATTAGGAAAGAATTGTGCTTACTAAATCAGTGTTCTCGAATTGAAATCTTGAGTATGCAATTGTGTTAAATACTCATTGAGAAAGCTTTGTCACCAATTTGACCTTACTCAGCTTGGCTAGTAAATAATGGATAATTGTATTAAAAAAGAAAAAGTAACAATTATATTGTAGCTAAATAAAGAAATTCTTGCATGACCTACGCACCACATTATTTACAGTCTATCCAATAAAAACATACCTTTTAGTATCAATCCACTTGAGCCTTTGTTCAGTCTCAAAGGTACCCTTGTGATTTCTCCCTAAATTCACCAAGATTAAACTGGGTTTTTAATCGCTTCAGTACAATACAAACTTCTTACTAAGTCTAAAACTCTCCCTTTACGAAGGTAATTATAAAATCCCCTTAAGTTTTCTGAATTTAAATTCCTCTATTTCAAATAATGAAAATAGGGATAAATAGAGTAAGTTTAAGAATAAATTACTTTTCTCGAATATCTCTTTTTAAAAGTAAATTTATAATCAATGAAACTCACAAATAATGAATGTAATAGTATTGAATTTGTATTTATAGTTAATCCTTGAAATAAATCCATTAAACCCAAATTTGTCCTTGAAGACTTTATCCTTATTTCATTTGAGTTCCTCATTGTTTGAGGCAATAAAACAATGCTTTCTGATGGATTTGTTTGTTATTGGTGCCTTAAAAATAATATCTAGATGTATTAAATACACTGACAAAATGTAAAAGAAAGTAATACTAGAAGATCAAAGCCATATGAGTAGGAAGAATAATTCAAAGAATGAATAAGAAATTAATTTCATCTGTATTTATATTTAAGAGTATTCTAGAATAAAAAAAAAGTAATCACACTACTTGAAAGTTGAAAAAATTAGTAATTAAGCGAGCTTCAAGATGCTCTTTTTAGGAACAAAAAAAATAGGGCAATAATCTTCAAGGAGTATGAATGTTTTGAGAATGACAATGAAGAGCTTCATACGGGTATATGAGAGATATATTGAAATCATAAAAGACATTGATCAAAGAAGATTTCTATCGAAATAATAAAAGACAATTGGGTAGAAAATATATATATATATATATATATATTTGGGTAAGCCTTCAATATATTGGTAGGAATATCAAGAACTTGGGAGGATAAGAATATACAGGGATATTTGGGTAGAACCTGTTCATTTGTGTGGAAATTAGATCTTTGGATAGGAAATAATCATACCATTAGGAGTAAGTTCTACCAAAATGTTCAAGAACTATTTCAGCACAAATATTTAATTTAATTTGACTTAAGCCGAAATCAATTTAAAGATTATGAAATAATTCAAATAATTATCTCTAACGAGGGGAAAAAATAGATAAAGCTCAAGGACAAGGAATAAGTTAAAGAATTAATTAAGCATATATACCTTATTTCCTTAAACTTGCCAATAACAAAAACCAATAAAATAATAATTTTTTTATTTTGTAATCATCAAAACTAAGATTCAATAGCCATTTCCATTGACAAAACTAGATGTATTCATATAGTGAACAAGTTAGTATTTACAAAATAACAATACTCTATTCCATTTTAACAAAAAATAATTCCCATAATAACAAGTTCAAAATAAAAGTTGTTTCTATTGACAAAATTAAGTGTACTAACAAGTCAACATTTGTAAAATTACAACACTTCATTCTATTTTAACAAGAAAAAATTCCTATAGTGACAAGTATAAAATAAAGCCATTTTGATTGACAAAACCAAGTGTATTCATGTAATGATCAAATTACCATTCGCAAAATAATAACACTTCATTTCATTTTAATAAGAAATAATTCTCATGGTGACAAGTTCAAAATAAAGATATTTTCATTCATAAAATCAAGTGTATAAATCTAGAGAACAACTCACCATTTATAAAATAACAACACTCCATCACATTTTAACAACAAATAATTTATCCAGAATATAGTTAGGGCAATTAGATATTTTTATAATCACAAGTAGTTATAATTAGGATCTTAAGTACTACAATGTTAAATCAAAATTTAATGATACTTAACTATGAATATGTTTTTTTAGAGGTCATTGGTTGTCATTTTCCAAAAATGAAAGAAATTCTAGGACACGAATTAATTAAAATTTTTTTTATTAATATGTGTAAATCACATGATTTTACCTTGTAAAAAAAAGAAGGAAAAAAACTAAAAAGAGTGTTTTGCACCTTTCCTGATAACCTGTGCTTGGACTTCCATGTCACACCATGTGACTTCATTGAACGAAAGTGTAAAATATAAATGGTAAATGCGAGGCACTTGATTTGTATCTCCACTAGTTTGTACTTCGTACTTTGTACGTATTAGCTGTCCTCGTTGTCATTTCTTGTTGGACCCCATCATAGCATACTACTGCCCTGCCATTTCCTAGGTTGTTTTTTTTTTTAAAAAAATTGAAATATTAGGTTAATATATCTAAAAATTTTGAAAAAATTATTAGTACATCTTTAGTTGATGGAGATGATAATTTGAATTAAGTCTAAAGATTAATTTGAATAAGTTCAAAAAAAATTATAATTAAATTTGATAAAATAATAATTTTTTAATATTCGACTTTATTGAAAAAAGTTTACCCCAAATAAACAAATCACACTTTTAAAAATATATAAAATATTAAATAATTCTTCAAGTTTTTATAATTTAAACAAAG